CAAAGCATTCAGACTCCAAACCTGACCTTTGCACCGCCTCGAAATCGCCCCGCCCCACTTGTGGTTTTTGACTATTACGACATCATCATTATTACCGCTTGATTTTTATTTCGAAAAAAAAATCAAACATCAAAGCGCTGTGTCCTGCGATCTTCTCGTGTCGTGTATTGTTCCAAGGTGCCCTTACTCCAACAGCCCCTTGATAAACAGTGAACTCCATTTCAAGTGAACAACAAAAGGTTTCCGAGGAGGTTCTTCAATGGAATGGACTGTGAAAGTGTTCTCATTTCGTGACATTTGCTGTCCGTCGTCATCGTCTCAATTTCTTCTTGTCGCTTCTGCAAAATCCTTTTTTCACAATTATACTTTCAGCAAAGAACTATTTTCGCATGGCAAAGCAGTGAATAAACAAATGAATAAGTAATGAGATCTAGTTACTCAAAAACGCTGTGTCGTGTTAGATTACGATTCCTGGAAATTTACACCTATCTTTGCAAAGTAGAACACTTTCGTACTCATCATATTGATACCTTCGAATGATGCTTGCTTCTTCTCTTCACTTCATCACATTAATCCTCCTTTTTAAAGGCACAACCCAGGCAGAGTCGTGTGAACGGTCTTCGGTCTGTAGTATAGACCCCTAGAGGACAATCACAAATGTGGCGTTCCCGTGCACGGAAACCAACCGACAAGAGCGCTTGGGCCTTGCAAAGCTGCTGAAGCTGCAGATTTTTTTCTCTTATCAGGCTGTTGTCTGGCGCTCTCTCATCTGTAGCGCTCTCTCGCCTCATACTCTCCTCTCCGCGCTTAGTCTCTCATTCCCTTAGCACAGCCGATTAGGAAGGTGAGTGAGCCCTTAACCTAAGCGTTTTGACGGATTCTTTTCCTTTTTTCTTTACTGCCGGCCCATTTCGCACCAATACATTCGCATTCGTGTGCAAGAGCCACACCAATGTGATCCTGGGGCATGCCTTTAAAAAGTGATGGTAAAAGTGAAAAAAAAGAACTAAAACATATTGATTCACATAGCGCGTCGATTGTATGGGTGGGGTTGGCGCTCTGCCCCTGCAGGAGTTCCCCCTGGTTTGCTCTTTACCGTATTTATTTTATTAATTTACTTAGCTGCATTGTTGGATTTACCGTTGCAGAAGTACGACTAACTTTCAGGTTTTCATTGGTGACCGCAAACTCCGCCCTGCATTAAACATTCGATAATGAGAGAGCTGAATACTACGGACGAAAAAACATTGAAGCCGTTGAAGCGGTCCTTGCAAGCCCCTTAGGCCCTTGTGTGCATTTTAGAGCCGAACACCTTTTGAGTAGTTCTATTATGCACATCCGATGTTATTCGTCTGGTTGAACTCATCCTTGGTCATCTAATTCCAGGGCCACATGTAGTTTCACTGGCTGACGCTGAGCTGAAGATGAAACAGTTGAGCTTAGCGCTTCCACCAAGGCGTGCATCTCTTTTGAGTTTTATCAGTTCAAAAGACGCAATCCGATCAGCACCCAATCTTGCCAAGAATTT